TGAAACCAGAGAGAGAGAGGACAGTGGATAGAGTCAGAAACCAGAGAGAGAGAGAGGACAGTGGATAGAGTCTGAAACCAGAGAGAGAGAGGACAGTGGATAGAGTCTGAAACCAGAGAGAGAGAGAGACAGTGGATAGAGTCAGAAACCAGAGAGAGAGAGGACAGTGGATAGAGTCAGAAACCAGAGAGAGAGGACAGTGGATAGAGTCAGAAACCAGAGAGAGAGAGACAGTGGATAGAGTCTGAAACCAGAGAGAGAGAGAGGACAGTGGATAGAGTCAGAAACCAGAGAGAGAGAGAGGACAGTGGATAGAGTCTGAAACCAGAGAGAGAGAGAGGACAGTGGATAGAGTCTGAAACCAGAGAGAGAGGACAGTGGATAGAGTCAGAAACCAGAGAGAGAGAGGACAGTGGATAGAGTCTGAAACCAGAGAGAGAGAGGACAGTGGATAGAGTCTGAAACCAGAGAGAGAGAGACAGTGGATAGAGTCTGAAACCAGAGAGAGAGAGAGGACAGTGGATAGAGTCTGAAACCAGAGAGAGAGAGGACAGTGGATAGAGTCAGAAACCAGAGAGAGAGAGACAGTGGATAGAGTCAGAAACCAGAGAGAGAGAGAGGACAGTGGATAGAGTCAGAAACCAGAGAGAGAGAGACAGTGGATAGAGTCTGAAACCAGAGAGAGAGAGGACAGTGGATAGAGTCTGAAACCAGAGAGAGAGAGGACAGTGGATAGAGTCAAACCAGAGAGAGAGGACAGTGGATAGAGTCAGAAACCAGAGAGAGAGAGAGGACAGTGGATAGAGTCTGAAACCAGAGAGAGAGAGAGGACAGTGGATAGAGTCAGAAACCAGAGAGAGAGGACAGTGGATAGAGTCTGAAACCAGAGAGAGAGAGGACAGTGGATAGAGTCAGAAACCAGAGAGAGAGAGGACAGTGGATAGAGTCTGAAACCAGAGAGAGAGGACAGTGGATAGAGTCAGAAACCAGAGAGAGAGAGAGGACAGTGGATAGAGTCAGAAACCAGAGAGAGAGGACAGTGGATAGAGTCTGAAACCAGAGAGAGAGAGAGGACAGTGGATAGAGTCAGAAACCAGAGAGAGAGAGGACAGTGGATAGAGTCTGAAACCAGAGAGAGAGGACAGTGGATAGAGTCTGAAACCAGAGAGAGAGAGGACAGTGGATAGAGTCTGAAACCAGAGAGAGAGAGGACAGTGGATAGAGTCAGAAACCAGAGAGAGAGGACAGTGGATAGAGTCTGAAACCAGAGAGAGAGAGAGGACAGTGGATAGAGTCTGAAACCAGAGAGAGAGAGGACAGTGGATAGAGTCTGAAACCAGAGAGAGAGAGAGGACAGTGGATAGAGTCAGAAACCAGAGAGAGAGAGGACAGTGGATAGAGTCAGAAACCAGAGAGAGAGGACAGTGGATAGAGTCTGAAACCAGAGAGAGAGACAGTGGATAGAGTCTGAAACCAGAGAGAGAGGACAGTGGATAGAGTCAGAAACCAGAGAGAGAGAGGACAGTGGATAGAGTCTGAAACCAGAGAGAGAGAGGACAGTGGATAGAGTCAGAAACCAGAGAGAGAGAGGACAGTGGATAGAGTCAGAAACCAGAGAGAGAGAGAGGACAGTGGATAGAGTCAGAAACCAGAGAGAGAGAGAGAGGACAGTGGATAGAGTCTGAAACCAGAGAGAGAGAGAGGACAGTGGATAGAGTCAGAAACCAGAGAGAGAGAGAGGACAGTGGATAGAGTCAGAAACCAGAGAGAGAGAGAGAGACAGTGGATAGAGTCTGAAACCAGAGAGAGAGAGGACAGTGGATAGAGTCAGAAACCAGAGAGAGAGAGAGGACAGTGGATAGAGTCAGAAACCAGAGAGAGAGAGAGGACAGTGGATAGAGTCAGAAACCAGAGAGAGAGAGAGGACAGTGGATAGAGTCTGAAACCAGAGAGAGAGGACAGTGGATAGAGTCAGAAACCAGAGAGAGAGAGGACAGTGGATAGAGTCTGAAACCAGAGAGAGAGAGGAAAGTGGATAGAGTCAGAAACCAGAGAGAGAGAGGACAGTGGATAGAGTCTGAAACCAGAGAGAGAGAGGACAGTGGATAGAGTCAGAAACCAGAGAGAGAGAGGACAGTGGATAGAGTCTGAAACCAGAGAGAGAGAGAGGACAGTGGATAGAGTCAGAAACCAGAGAGAGAGAGAGGACAGTGGATAGAGTCAGAAACCAGAGAGAGAGGACAGTGGATAGAGTCAGAAACCAGAGAGAGAGAGAGGACAGTGGATAGAGTCTGAAACCAGAGAGAGAGAGAGGACAGTGGATAGAGTCAGAAACCAGAGAGAGAGAGAGGACAGTGGATAGAGTCTGAAACCAGAGAGAGAGAGAGGACAGTGGATAGAGTCAGAAACCAGAGAGAGAGAGGACAGTGGATAGAGTCTGAAACCAGAGAGAGAGAGAGGACAGTGGATAGAGTCTGAAACCAGAGAGAGAGAGGACAGTGGATAGAGTCAGAAACCAGAGAGAGAGAGAGGACAGTGGATAGAGTCAGAAACCAGAGAGAGAGAGGACAGTGGATAGAGTCTGAAACCAGAGAGAGAGAGAGGACAGTGGATAGAGTCAGAAACCAGAGAGAGAGAGGACAGTGGATAGAGTCTGAAACCAGAGAGAGAGAGAGGACAGTGGATAGAGTCTGAAACCAGAGAGAGAGAGGACAGTGGATAGAGTCAGAAACCAGAGAGAGAGAGGACAGTGGATAGAGTCTGAAACCAGAGAGAGAGAGGACAGTGGATAGAGTCTGAAACCAGAGAGAGAGAGAGGACAGTGGATAGAGTCAGAAACCAGAGAGAGAGAGAGACAGTGGATAGAGTCAGAAACCAGAGAGAGAGAGAGAGGACAGTGGATAGAGTCAGAAACCAGAGAGAGAGAGAGACAGTGGATAGAGTCAGAAACCAGAGAGAGAGAGAGGACAGTGGATAGAGTCTGAAACCAGAGAGAGAGAGGACAGTGGATAGAGTCAGAAACCAGAGAGAGAGAGGACAGTGGATAGAGTCTGAAACCAGAGAGAGAGAGAGGACAGTGGATAGAGTCAGAAACCAGAGAGAGAGAGAGGACAGTGGATAGAGTCAAACCAGAGAGAGAGAGGACAGTGGATAGAGTCAGAAACCAGAGAGAGAGAGGACAGTGGATAGAGTCTGAAACCAGAGAGAGAGAGGACAGTGGATAGAGTCAGAAACCAGAGAGAGAGAGAGAGGACAGTGGATAGAGTCAGAAACCAGAGAGAGAGAGAGGACAGTGGATAGAGTCAGAAACCAGAGAGAGAGAGAGGACAGTGGATAGAGTCTGAAACCAGAGAGAGAGAGAGGACAGTGGATAGAGTCTGAAACCAGAGAGAGAGAGGACAGTGGATAGAGTCAGAAACCAGAGAGAGAGAGGACAGTGGATAGAGTCTGAAACCAGAGAGAGAGAGGACAGTGGATAGAGTCAGAAACCAGAGAGAGAGAGGACAGTGGATAGAGTCTGAAACCAGAGAGAGAGAGAGGACAGTGGATAGAGTCTGAAACCAGAGAGAGAGAGGACAGTGGATAGAGTCAGAAACCAGAGAGAGAGAGGACAGTGGATAGAGTCTGAAACCAGAGAGAGAGAGGACAGTGGATAGAGTCTGAAACCAGGAGAGAGAGAGGACAGTGGATAGAGTCAGAAACCAGAGAGAGAGAGAGGACAGTGGATAGAGTCAGAAACCAGAGAGAGAGAGAGGACAGTGGATAGAGTCTGAAACCAGAGAGAGAGAGAGGACAGTGGATAGAGTCTGAAACCAGAGAGAGAGAGACAGTGGATAGAGTCTGAAACCAGAGAGAGAGGACAGTGGATAGAGTCTGAAACCAGAGAGAGAGAGGACAGTGGATAGAGTCTGAAACCAGAGAGAGAGAGAGGACAGTGGATAGAGTCTGAAACCAGAGAGAGAGAGAGGACAGTGGATAGAGTCAGAAACCAGAGAGAGAGAGGACAGTGGATAGAGTCTGAAACCAGAGAGAGAGAGAGGACAGTGGATAGAGTCTGAAACCAGAGAGAGAGAGAGGACAGTGGATAGAGTCAGAAACCAGAGAGAGAGAGAGAGGACAGTGGATAGAGTCTGAAACCAGAGAGAGAGAGAGGACAGTGGATAGAGTCTGAAACCAGAGAGAGAGAGGACAGTGGATAGAGTCTGAAACCAGAGAGAGAGAGCGGGGAATGGGACGCACGCCCTGCCACTGCGCCACCAGCGCGCCCCTGTCTGACTTTTTTTTACAGGCAGTGAACTCACCACAGACACTCCGCTGTCCCACGGTTTTCACAGGCAGTGAACTAACCACAGACGCTCCACTGTCCCACTGTTTTTACAGGAAGTGAACTCACCACAGACACTCCGCATTCCCACTGTTTTTACAGGCGGTGAACTAACCACAGACACTCCGCTGTCCCACTGTTTTTACAGGCAGTGAACTAACCACAGACACTCCGCTGTCCCACTGTTTTTACAGGCGGTGAACTAACCACAGACACTCCGCTGTCCCACTGTTTTTACAGGCAGTGAACTAACCACAGACACTGAAGTGTCCCACTGTCCTTAAACACACCAAACTAACAGCTGTTTTTCAGTTAAATGTTGTGATTAATAATTAATGGCAGACGTTTTGTTTCATGGATCAGTAATGAGAGTCGACTCAGCACTTTGTTAGAAAAGATCATTTATTACTCAGCTCACAGATCACCTGACAGACGACCTCGTGTTTTATCACCTGGTCGTCTGCGAGGAGAAGAGAGCGAGAAAAACAAACAACAGTAACAGGTCATCATCTTTAAAATCATCTCTGTGATTCTTCTAAATAAGTTTGTCTGCGCTTCAAGATGAAAAATCAGAGAAACAAACATTTAAAGAAGATATTTCAACATGGCGGATATCTGACGTTCTGTACAGTAAGCTCCGCCCACCTGGGACAACAGGTACAATGAAACAAAGACATAATTTTAACAAAAAATATTATTATTATTTATTTTTTTTGCAGGACGTGTTGTAGTGAAGTTTCGATTTTGTGAAGGGTTGGAGAGGACATCAGCCAATAGGATCGCTGCAGCACGGTCACATGGAGGTCACCTTTTCCTCTGTGTTTTCAAACGCGTGGTTGTTGAAGGCGTTCCTGTCGTCGTTCCTGATCGACCGAAAACACACACGAGGTGAGGAGATAAGGTGTGCACAATCATAAAAATCACTTTTATGTGACGTCACCTTTTTATTTATGATGTCAGCGCTCTCTAATGTTTTGAGTTTGGACTGCAGTACTCATTTTTGAACACCAGGTGTCAGAGTTACTTACTGCTCCTTTAAACTCTCATTTAAGGATCCAAATCCAAAGAGTTAAAGACAGGGTTGGCCATTTTGGAAAAACTAGCATGATTTTGAAAGTAGCATTCCCTCAGTGCTCTGTCTGCCATCTCAGCTCATCTCTGTCATTGTGTAGAAACTCCGTCGTCTCATGTCTCATTCAGCGGTCAGTAAACTCACAGTATAAACAAGAGGTAGAGCAGGGAGACAGGGAGGCGTCTGATTGGTTCATCAGATTGGTACCTCGTGGCAGACATTGGTTGAAGTTTTTACAGACTTACAAACTGATACAGATGATGGATTCTCTTTGTTCCTGTTTCAGAGAACATGAGTTATTAATGTCTGTCAGGACCTGAAGACAATTTACACCAGAATCTGAAGAAGTGGAGGAAATGACCAACCCTGACTTTAAATAAATAAAACAACCTGTGTCTGATGTTCCTACCTGACCAGGTCCAGAGTGATCTCGTAGATGTTTTCTGTCTCGGACTCTTCCTGTCTCATTTCCGTTTTCCTCCTGCAGAAACATCGGAACACATTCACATGTAGACGCTGTAGGTACCAGATGTGCTCGGGGTCCTGCGCCTGCTGGTGACGTCACTCAATGTGATCGGCACCAAAACGACATTAAAAAACGTAAAAAAGACTAAAAGACTGTGTACATGATTTTCATCCCACAATCCATTGCAAATTATATCGTGTCTTCTTAAGAGTAACTTTTGTCGTTGTTATAGTTTTTATACCGTTAGTAAGTGTTGTACTGTCTTGTAGTTTGTGTAAATATAAACTACATAGGGCAGCTGTGGCTCAGTTGGTAGTGTCGTCGCCTCTCAACCGGAAGGTTGAGGGTTTAATCCCCAGCTGGGCAACATGTCTGATGTGTCCTTAGGCAAGACACTTCACCCTGAATTGCTCCCGCTGCTTCGGGTGGCGGTGTATGAATGGATAAGTTACTTCTGATGGATGATACTACATAGTGACGACTACCATCAGTGTGTGAATGGGTGGGTGTGACCTGCAGTGTAAAAACATTTTGAGTAGTCAGAAGACGCTATATAAGCTCAAGTCCATTTACCATTCACTGCGGCATGACGAGGATATTAGGCTAGTACATTTCCTGTTAGCTAGCCTGCTAGCGGGACTTATCTGTTGGCATACGGCGCAGAGGGGCAGTACACATTGCCATGGTAACAGCAGGCTTAACCAATCAGAAACACTCTATGATCGTGGGAAGCGTAGTACTATGCCCCGATATCGCAAATAAAACTTCATATTGTATGATGTCACTAGCAGGCGCAGGACGGCGAGCACATCTGGTACCTACAGCGTCATCAATCAGCTGTTAAAGCAGGAAGTGATCTGGTGTTCGTACCTGACCAGGTCCAGACTCGTCTCATACGAGTTTTCTTCAGTCACTGCCTCAGCCGAACTCTTTTTCCTGCATAAACATGTGAAGAGTTCATGAGATGACCTCCAGTGTAAGGGGGGGGGGGGATGACATCATTGACAATTTGACTTGGCGTTCAGTTGAAGGTTGAGGAAAGATGTAATGACCTCCCTGCTCTTCACAGTTTCACTCACCTGCCGGACTCGTCACACCACGCCTTCTTCATCAGGAAGACGACGAAGGTGAGGAAGAGGAACCCGACGAGGGCGATGATCCCGGTGAGCCACTGAGGGAGCAGACGCTCGCTGGGCTGAACTGAGACAACAACAAAGAAATCAAAGTTTATATCATCTCTGAAACCGACAAATAACAGAAACTGTTTTAGTGGCACTCCAGAACACCCTCATGTAGGTTTTCAAAATAAAAGCCCGCTGGGAGACGGGCGTTCAGCTCGTTATTTCATAAGCTCTGTAGAGTACAGGGGGCGCTGTGCTCTCGCTCAGGTCGCCTGTGATACATCTCACCAGGGTTTAGACGTTAACAGAACTCAAAGTTAGCAGAAGTTAAAGTTTCCAGTAAACTCTACGTTTAAAAATACATTTAAAAAATAATGCTGTTTTGTTGCTATATTTTTAGTGAATATGAGTTTAATTTTTTATTTAAAGGTGACATATCCTCCTCCTCCTCTTCTTCAGTTTAAATAAGTCTCAGAGCTCCTCAAAACATGTGTGTGAAGTTTCTTGTTCTAAATCCACTCTGATCCTGTATTTGATCATGTCTATAAACCCCTCTATTTCAGCCCTGCTCAGAACAGGCTGTTTCTGTGTCTGTACCTTTAAATATGTAAATGAGCTGTGTCTGACCACGCCCCCTCTCTGGAAGGGCTTGGGTGTACTCGGTCTTTTCTCGCTCCTGTCTTATTGTTTACGGTGAGAAGGCAGACTCAGAGGGCAGAACAAACACCTAGCTGTGGGAGTGTCACCCACCTGGGGGAGGGGCTACTGCCCTTTGTGATGTCATGAAGGGAAAATCTCCAAACGGCCTGTTTGAGCACACATTTTCTGAAAAGTGGAGCAGGCAGAAGATGGAGAGGATGGACTTTTCTCATCATTGGGGGGTTTATAGACGGACTAGAGACACATGTTAGAGCTAGAGGAACATGGAGAAGTGGATTTTAGAGAATGTGTGACCCCCCTTTAATGAACATTTGTGTGTAGGGAAAAAAGATCTTCAGACAGATAAAAAGCAGCAGGTTTTATTTTTGACCTCTGTTGTTAGAGGGCTAATAAAGCTGTATAAAAAAAGCTCTATTATGATATTAACAGGAACGAGTACTTCCTCATGGGCTCTTTATTCTCAGAGTGAATTATTAACCAACAAGCACTTAAGTGAGTCAGAAAGTCAACAGATCGTGTTTACGGGTTCAGAATGACTGAAGTCTAATATCGCCCCTGACGCCCAGCCTCCATCATCAGACTGTCGTCCCCACAACCACCGCCTTCCTCGTTCATGCACGGCCTGCTCAGCGGAGAGGACGAGTGGACAACAGGAACGAGAGCAACACAAAGGAGAAATCACTCCTGCATATGATCACATCTGTTCTTTAGTAAAGCGTCTTGTTATGAATATACAAATAATGAATGATTGATTATATTTATTAACATCAATGTGTGTGTGTGTGTGTGTGTGTGTGTGTGTGTGTGTGTGTGTGTGTGTGTGTTGTTGTGTGTGTGTGTGTGTCTTTGTGATGGGAGACAGCTCTCTACAATGTTTTGATTTCAGACTGCAGTACCCATTTCAAACACTAGGCTGCTCCTTTAAATAAAGATTATCATTCAAACCATTTGAGGTGAAGTTCATTTTTAACATAATTTATTGTCATGCTCCTCTGTGTTGTACTTCAGTCTCATACCAGTTTGTATTTAAAAGTTTAAAGTTTAATGTTTGATCTTTAAACCAGATTTAGATTCCATGTCTGTGCACACGCCCCCTCTGACTCGACGCACAGCGAGGTGTTTTTATCTGATAATCTGACCGACTGATTAGCTGTAGAAATGTGGATTTAAAGAGTTTGTAAAGGTCGTACCTGTCTGCGCCGTCACCGCCCCGACCGTCATCAACAAGCAGGAAATGACCACACCGAGTTTCTCCATCGCTGCGTCTGATCGGACCGATGAAAAACAAAAAGATTTCTTTTTTAAACGTTGAAAGACAAACAGCAGAATGTCCAGCTCCAGAGTGTGTGAGCTGATCTGACAGCAGAGAGTAAGTGTGTGTCTCAGGTGTTGTCAGGTGTAACCGGAGGTCAGCACACATCTGTTAATGTTTGACTCAGAGTCACAAAGCTTACAGTGATCCACAGGAAACACCTTTATCTGCTCGCCCAGCGCTATGCCCCCCCCCCTCTGCTGGGACTCCATGTTTACTCAGCAGCTCTATCAGGGTTAAGAGGAGATCCATGAAGCCCAACCCGTTACAGACTTTCTGTTTCAGTCGGGGTACTGAACGGGCTTTAAGGAGTACATGTTATCTTAATGACTTCCAGTCTGGTTTCAGGAGGAAACCCCGTACAGTCTCCACGAAGGTCTTAAATGACATCATCAACTTCAGCCACGTTCCACCAAGCGGTCTGTTACAGTTCGGTACGGTAAACCCTGATCGAGCTTCAATTCCACAACTAAACGTTCCCTTACCCCCGAAGCAGAGTCAGCTGGATAGCGATAGCATTGTCAGCTACGTAATAGCATGACATCATAGCAGTGCAATAAATTCAACGAAGGAGGAGGCGCCATTAGCCTAGCTGTTAGTGCGCTCGCGCCCCATGTACGGAGGCAGTAGTCCTCCGTACATGGAGTACGTTCAAATCCGACTTGTGGCTCCTTTCCCGCATGTCATTCCCCTCTCTCTCTCTGTCGGTATCTGTCTCTATGCACGGCCTTATCTCTCTATAAAGCTCGATGAAGAAGAAGAAGGAGACGCCCAGCAGAGGTCAGCACCTCCGAGGTCGTCCATGAGGCGGAGTCGCAAAAGAACAAAAACAGTGATTCTCTATACGGTTTATTTAAACATGGCGGGTTTTGTGTTTGTCCTTTATTACCGCTTTCAAGCGGAAAGTGACGATTCTTTCGACCAATCAACGGATTGCGTCTAGCAGTCTCTAAGAAATTCTTCTAAAAGATGTCAGTCTGGTGTGAGATGCTAAAAAAACTCAAATTTATCTGATCTCTCATTTCAGCCTCTGCCTGTCTCTTTAAGGCCCCGCCTCCCAACTTGCCCACTTTCCTCTGATTGGCCAGCTCTGTTTGCAGTCCAAGTGAAATTTGTAGTGAGCTTTCTGGTGGGGCGTGTCCTTGAATGAGCTTCCTGGTGGGCGTGTCCTACAGCTTTGCTCAATGCTTAGCTCTGATACGTCGGCACAACCCGACATCAGGTTCTAGTCTCGCCCAAGTTTCTCGTTCAGAGCAGCAGGAAACCACGCCCAGAGAGAACGCCAACAACTGTGTATGATGTGTTTAAAACACTCTGTCCAGATGTTTGTATTTAAAGATGTTCCTCTGAACTCTCCTCTTGAATCTTGAAGAGAAGCCTCTGAATAGTTTGTGTTTCTTCTCTCATGACGGCAGCTGTGTTTGGTTTAGAGTCCAGATCATCTCCAACCTCCTCTGACACATCGTCCATCTTTACTCTGAATATGTTTCAAACTTAAAATGTGAAAATGTGCCATGGCACCAACAACTCTTATATTTATATTTATATTTATATTTATATTTATATTTAAATTTAAATTTATATTTATATTTATATTTATATTTATATTTAATTTATATTTATATTTATATTTATATTTAAATTTATACTTAAATTTATATTTATATTTATATTTATATTTAAATTTATATTTATATTTATATTTATATTTAAATTTATATTTATATTTATATTTATATTTATATTTACGTTACAAACTAAAGTTTTTGGACGTGAGGATAAATGTAATTTTATAAACGAGGCAGCACAGTGTTATAACCTCAGGGCCTCTTAAGGTCCCGGAGCCCCAGTTTGGGCCTCACTGTCCTACAGTATGAGACAGGCGGGGGAGGGGTTGGCTTTGAGCATGCTCATGAGGTTCAGGTTGAACTGGGCGGGGTTAAAGTCCTGCAGGTCGGACTCGGAGCTCCGCAGAGCGCCCCCCTTCTTCTCTCTGGAGGTGACTCTGTACTGAGCCTTCACGTTCCTCAGAGGGTTCCAGTCCGGACCGACGTGATCCGGACACCCAAACACCTCCCTGATGACCACGCCCCCGCGAGTCAACGCCACGAAGCCGTTCCTGAACGTCACCATCCTGACCACCGGGGAGTAGACGTACTGGACGTACAGAAGGTTACCTGAGAGCGCGGAGAGAGACACAAACATGCATCAAAGAACACCATTTCCCATCAACCCACAGAACAGCACAGGAAGTGGTTAGTTCAGTGTCTGTTATAACAGTGGGGCATTCAAGTGTCTGTGGTGAGTTTAGGGTCTGTAATAAGAGTGGGAAAGTCAGCTATCTGTGGTTAGTTCAATGACTGCTGTTACAAAGGAAAAGTCCAGAGTCTGTGGTTAGTTCAGTGTCCGCTTTAAGTTTGGGACGTTTGAGTGTCTGCGGTGAGTTCAATGCCTGTTACTACGTGGGACATTTGACCACCTGTGGTTAGTTCAGTGCGTGTTACAAAAGTAGGACATTTGACCACCTTGTGGCAGGTTAACAGGGAGTAGATGGGGAGGAGGCAGTTGAACATAAGTGGTGAGTTCAACGTCTGTAAACAACATTTGTAAATTGTATTGTCAGTTTTATTTTAGTGTCTGTAACAAAAGTGAAACATTGACTGCTTGTGATGAAGTTCAATGCCTGTTACAACAGTAGGACATTTGACCACCTGTGGTAGGTTGATTGTAGGTGATAATGGGACAGTTGAACATTAGTGGTGAGTTCAAAGTCTGTAATAACATTTGTAAATTCCAGTGTCTGTTTGTTTAGTGTCTGTAACAGAAGTGGGACATTTGAGTGTCTACGATGAGTTCAGTTACTTTAGAAACAGTGGGAAAGTTTAGTGACTGTGGTTAGTTCAATGCCTGACACAACTGTAAGACATTTGACCACCTCTGGTTATTTGACTGTCCTTAATATCGGGACAGTTGAACATTAGTGGTGAGTTCAACGTCTGTAAAAGCATTTGGAAATTCCAGTGTCTGTTAGTTTAATGTCTGTGACAAAAGTGGGATATTAGACTGTCTGTGATGAGTTCAGTGTCTGTAACAACAGTGGGACAGTCCAGTGTTTGTGGTCAGTCCAGGATCTATTGAGTGGCAGTGATTTTAACTTGAGAGAACTTCCTCTTTTAATAACCTGTCCGTACCTGAAGCAACGTCCCACACTTTGACCGTTCTGTCCTGAGATCCTGTGAAGACGAATTTATCGCTCTCAGAGAAAGCAGCCGAGAGGACGCCCTCGAAGAAAAAACCCTAAAAAAACACAGAAATATTGATTGATGTCTCATTTTTAGTCTGTATTGAATTCAAACCAGATGCAGTTATGAACGGCAGTATTTAGTTCTGACCTTGAACTCCATGGTGTGGTCGAGGACCGGTGGGTTCAGGGCCCACAGCCTCTGGACGGCGTCCTCGGAGCCCACCAGGGCGTGAGTCCCCCAGTTACTGACGGTCACACACGTCACCCTGCTGTGGTGATTCTCCAGGTCTGAGCTGCTGCTGCTGCTGAAGTCGAGCAGCTTCACCTCGCCGCAGCTCGTCCCGTAGAGCAGCCGGCGGTCGGGCAGCAGCGCCATGGAGGACAGGGGGGCGTGCAGGAGGGACAGGGGGGACGTCTGCAGGGGTCCCTCCACCATGGGGAAGCTGTCTCTGCTGGTGATCTCAAACAGACACACCGAGTCCTCGTAGGCTACCGCCATGTGTTTCTCCTGAGAGCTGACGGCGAGGCAGAGCACGCCGCTCAGGCTCTCTGGGGGGGGGATGCAGAGCGTCTCCTGGGGGAGCGCTAACGGGAAGATCAGGACGGTGCCGGTGGTCAGACCGCAGAACAGCAGCCGTTTGTGCTGAGCCACGTCCAGACAGCAGACCTGAGCCGAGACCGCAAAGCGCTCCGACAGAGAACCTGCAGAGAGACAGGAGGAGGAGGAGGGGTCAGAGGTCAGCAGGAGGAGACACCAGGGGAGGGGTCAGAGGTCAGCAGGAGGAGACACCAGGGGAGGGGTCAGAGGTCAGCAGGAGGAGACACCAGGGGGAGGGGTCAGAGGTCAGCAGCAGGAGACACCAGGGGGAGACACCAGCAAGAGACACCAGGAGGAGACACCAGGGAGAGACACCAGGAGGAGACACCAGGAGGAGACACCAGGGAGAGACACAAAGAGGAGACACCAGGGAGACATAAGGAGGAGACACCAGGAGGAGACACCCGAGGAGACACCAGGAGGAGACACCAGGAGGAGACACCAGGGAGAGACACCAGGGAGAGACACCAGGAGGAGACACCAGGAGGAGACACCAGGGAGACAGCAGGAGGAGACACCAGGAGGAGACACCCGAGGAGACACCAGGGAGACAGCAGGAGGAGACACCAGGAGGAGACACCAGGAGGAGACACCAGGGAGAGACACCAGGGAGAGACACCAGGAGGAGACACCAGGAGGAGACACCAGGGAGACAGCAGGAGGAGACACCAGGAGGAGACACCCGAGGAGACACCAGGAGGAGACACCAGGAGGAGACACCAGGGAGAGACACCAGTAGGAGACACCCTAAGAAGACACCAGGAGGAGACACCAGGAGGAGACACCAGGAGGAGACACCAGGAGGAGACACCCGAGGAGACACCAGGAGGAGACACAAGGAGGAGACACCAGGGAGAGACACCAGGAGGAGACACAGGGAGAGACACAGGAGGAGACCCAGGGAGACATAAGGAGGAGACACCAGGAGGAGACACCGAGGAGACACAGGAGGAACACCAGGAGGAGACACAGGGAGAGACACCAGGGAGAGACACCAGGAGGAGACACCAGGAGGAGACACCAGGGAGACAGCAGGAGGAGACACCAGGAGGAGACACCCGAGGAGACACCAGGAGGAGACACCAGGAGGAGACACAGGAGAGACACCAGGGAGAGACACCAGGAGGAGACACCAGGAGGAGACACCAGGAGGAGACACCAGGAGGAGACACCCGAGGAGACACCAGGAGGAGACACAAGGAGGAGACACCAGGGAGAGACACCAGGAGGAGACACCAGGGAGAGACACCAGGAGGAGACACCAGGAGGAGACACCAGGAGGAGACACCAGGGAGAGACACAAGGAGGAGACACCAGGAGGAGACACCAGTAGGAGACACCCTAAGAAGACACCCTAAGAAGACACCAGGAGGAGACACCAGGAGGAGACACCAGGAGGAGACACCAGAAGGAGACACCAGAAGGAGACACCAGAAGGAGACACCAGGAGGAGACACCAGGAGGAGACACCAGGGAGAGACACAAGGAGGAGACACCAGTAGGAGACACAGGGAGAGACACCAGGAGGAGACACCAGGGAGAGACACCAGGAGGAGACACCAGGAGGAGACACCCGAGGAGACACCAGGAGGAGACACAAGGAGGAGACACCAGGGAGAGACACCAGGAGGAGACACCAGGGAGAGACACCAGGAGGAGACACCAGGAGGAGACACCAGGAGGAGACACCAGGAGGAGACACCAGGAGAGAGACACAAGGAGGAGACACCAGTAGGAGACACCCTAAGAAGACACCCTAAGAAGACACCAGGAGGAGACACCAGAAGGAGACACCAGAAGGAGACACCAGGAGGAGACACCAGGAGGAGACACCAGGGAGAGACACCCTAAGAAGACACCCTAAGAAGACACCAGGAGGAGACACCAGAGGAGACACCAGAAGGAGACACCAGGAGGAGACACCAGGAGGAGACACCAGGAGGAGACACCAGGAGGAGACACCAGGAGGAGACACCAGGAGGAGACACCAGGAGGAGACATTCTGATATTGGGATGGGGACGTCTTGCAGCTCTGACTTGTGAGGTTGTTCCAGCCGATGACCTCCATCTGGTTTTGCTGCCTGACGTAGAAAACTCGCTCTGCGTCTTTAGTGAGGGCGACGTGGGCGGAGCCTGCAGGGATGTGGGCGGTTGGTTTGTGGCGCTCGTCGTATTTCAGACTCCACAGGTGAACACAGGCGGCAGCCGAGGAGGCGGAAACCACGACGCCTTTGTGCAGAACCACAGACGTTACTGGAGCGTCTGAACCACAGAGAGAGTCCAACAACGAACCCGTGGTCACCGACCAGATCTGAAGAAGACACAAACACATGAGCGTCTGTACACACAGAGTTACACACTCACAACGCTCACAACAAGGTTCTTCAGAGTCTTCCTCACTGTGCAGCAGCTGGATTAGATCTACCTGGGACACACCTGGAGAGTCTTTA